TTTAATCGAGTCAACAAAATTGGTGTTGAGACGGTATCAAAAGCTTTCTGCAAGTCAATAAATACACCTGTACATTTATCACCTTCATCTACATATTGAGTAATGTTTTTTGTAAGTTTAAGAAGAGAATCTTCGGTTGATTTGTTAGATCTGAATCCGAATTGATTTTTTGAAATATAGCTATTTGTCTCTAAGTAGTTTGTTAATCTTTTATTTACTAATTTTTCGATTACTTTGGATAATACACATAAGAGCGTAATGGGTCTATAATTAGATGTTAAAGATTTGTCACCTGCTTTGTGAATTGGGATTACTATTGACTTTTTAAGCGTAGTTGGGAAAATACCTGTAATAAAAATAGTATTGCAAATATATGAAATAGGTTCTGCAAGGAATTCTCGAAAGTATTTTAGTACATTAGTAGGTATTCCATCCCACCCTGAAGCACTGCTATTTTTAAGGCTACTAGTAATACTTTTGACTTCACCTGTGTCTACTGGACTAAGTGACATCGATTGAAGTGGGGTCTAATTTATTGGCTTTGCAAGCTAAGGATGATTTTTTGTTCAAAATACTATGAGCTAATTCACCACCAATGGAGGTAAAGTACTCATTTATATTATTTAGAGACGAGTAGGGATTATTTTCTATGTTTAATAATTCCGTAGATACTGATTTATTTTGTTTTAAATTACTTATTTCTTTTATTATTTGCCATGTTTTTTTTTTTGAGTTACCAACAGACTTAGCCAGCTGTAATTGGTAGTAGTTGCGTTTTAGAGTTTTTAACATAGAATTACCGATGTTGCTATAACTTAAGTAATTATTTTTTAGATGGTCATCATCACTCGATTTCTTTAGGATTTTATGTAATTTGTCTCTTTTGCGTATACATTTGATAACATTTGTAGTTAGCCAAGGCTTTAAGGGTTTATATTTGCTTACAATAGTTTTCACTGTACTGTTGGCTACAATACATTCTTGCAGTTTGGAGACCAGAAAACTTGCCATTTCATCTACTGTTTTTAAATATTAGACCGGTATTCTACCCATGGGAAAGATTTCAGTGCTAAGCCTAATTTATCAAAGTCTATATTAATTTTGTCATACCGGTAATTAGTTCTCTTCAGATTAGAATTTCCAAGATGTAGGAGTATTGGGCAATGATCAGTAAAAGGTTCAAATACAAATGTTTTTTGTACTGAACTACTACTTTTGACCATAAAGTGATCTATACAACTAACTTTTCTCGTTGGCTTATCAATACCTTGTCTAAGACCGTATGCTGCCATAAGATTTAAATAATCTGATGAGTATCCTGTAACACGCATATCATTTTTTCTTCTCTATATATTATTTTCAACTATTTTTGTTTGTCGAATATTAATATTTTGTGAAAATATGCCACAACATCCACTTAACAGCAAGTGGACTGTTTGCTCGTTTGTCACCTTACTTCTCTTGAAAAAAAAAAGTATTTAGAAGTTAAGAAGAATATTTGGTACGGAAACTTTAAACAAATATTATTAAGTTAAAAAAGGCTGCATGCAAGGCGTACCTTTGCATGTTAAGGACATATCGATAAACATTGAGTTATATGTAATACGTACTAGAGAAGCTATTCCAAACAAAAAATGTACACTACTCTGTATCCGCACATGCGCGGGAAACAGGATTCGCGCATGCGCAGTTGATATAAACGCGCGAAAATAGAATACATAATTGTTTATTTAGATTGTATTGTTAATCGAGTACATTTTTTTAAATGTTCGTTTATTTTGCATATGTGCTAATTTAATATAAAATTATTATTAACACTGCATGAACATCGAGATCTGCAGATCTCCAAATGCATGCGGCTAGACTTGCGCAACTTCAATACTGCTCGTATTCAAGAAGCGATCGAGCGGAACCAGGGCTCCAAAGTCTTTGCCAGAGATCTGTCTGCCAGTAAAAGCCAACTGTCAAGGCTGAAGACTGAGTGTGGCAGCAATGTTTTTTTTATAATAGGATAGAGTGACAAACGAGCACACAGTCCACCTGATGGTAAGTGGTTGCTGCGGCCCATAGAAATCTACATCTATACTCGATTACAAATCAAAATGCAGATGCGTTGTCACCCGTGAGGACTAAAATGGAATGCCTCGTTTCCAGTAAAAAGGGTCTCCGGTTCTCTACACTCACTATACAAAATACAGCAACGTTAAGCTACTATTTCACGCTTGTATTCTGTGAGATATTTCCGGGACACCTGAGATTCTGAGTGAGATTGAGAGGTTCTATGGGCAGCTGTACACATCATCCTTGGAGCCACACGCAAGTGTGAGTAACGATCCAAGAGCAAGTCTTATCTGACACTATTCCGATGATATCCCGGACGTCAGTCTGAGCGAGATTAGAATGGCTCTCCAGCACCTTAAAAACGGCAAGTCCCCGGACGAGGATGGAATTACAGCGGAGCTTCTGAAAGCGGGTGGAAAACCGGTACTTGAAGTCCTTCAGAGGCTCTTTAATTCCGTCCTCCATGGTGGCACTACTCCGGAGGCGTGGAGCAGAAGTGCGGTAGTCTTCTTCTTCAAGAAAGGTGACAACGCCTTCTTGAAGAACTACAGACCGATATCCCTTCTGAGCCGCGTCTACGTGCTGTTTTCGAGAGTCATTACGAATCGTCTCGCACGCAGACTCGACGACTTCCAGCCTCCCGAACAAGCCAGTTTCCGAAAAGGATTCAGTACCATAGACCACATACATACCCTGCGGCAGATTGTACAGAAGACCAAAGAGTACAATCTGCCGCTTTGCCTGGCGTATGTGGACTATGAGAAAGCCTTTGATTCCGTCGAAATTTGGGTGGTGCTGCAGTGCCTTCAGCGGTGCCAAGTTGACTGTCGGTGTATCGAAGTGCTGAAGTGTTTGTTCAGTAGGGCTACGATGCCTTTCCGAGTAGAGAACCAGAGTTCGAAACCTATCCAACTGCAGAGAGGTGTAAGACAGGGTGACGTTATATCCCCGAAACTCTTCACGAAGACGTTTTCAAGCTACTGGACTGGAAAGGATACGGTATTAACGTCAATGGCGAGTACATCACTCACCTTCGATTTGCCGACCATATAGTTCTTATGGCAGAATCGCTGGAGGACCTAAGCACTATGCTCAATGACCTCAATGGCGTCTCCCAACGGATAGGTCTTAAGATGAACATGGACAAAACAAAGATCATGTTTAATGTCCATGTCACACCTATGCTGGTAGTTGTTGGGAGCACTATGCTCGAAGTTGTTGACGAGTACGTTTACCTGGGACAAATAGTCCGACTAGGTAAGTCCAACTTCGACCGAGAGGTCAATCTACGGATTCAACTGTGCTGGGCAGCGTTCGGGAAATTACGACACATCTTCTCGTCAGGTATACCTCAATCTCTGAAAACTAGATTGTTCAACCAGTGCGTGTTGCCAGTGATGACTTACGGATCTGAGACGTGGTTCTTCACTGCTGGCCGTATGAGGACGCTCAAGGTCGCTCAGCGAGCTATGGAGAGGGCTATGCTCGGAGTTTATCTGCGTGAGAAACTTGGAATTGAGGATGTCCGCAATCGAACCAGAGTGACCGACAGAGCCCAACGGATTAGTAAGCTGAAGTAGCAATGGGCCGGCCATATAGCTCGAAGAACCGACAACCGTTGGGGAAGAAAGGTTCTCGAGTGGCAGCCTCGTACCGGTAGGCGAAGTGTAGGGCGACCCCCCACTGGATGGAGTGACGACCTGGCAAGACATGCAGGAAATCGATTAATGCAGGTGGCTCAGGGCCGTGCTTTGTGGCATACCTTGGGGGAGGCCTATGTTCAGCAGTGGACTTGTGAAGGGCTGTAATGATGATGATGATGATGATGATGATGATGATGAACATCGAAATCGAAGCCACAATAACAGGTGTACGGATTGCAGTACAGTTCAGTTGAACATAGTGATTGTTAGGAATGCCAAATATAGAGTGTAGTACATATATATATCGATGTCGATAAGATATTATCGATAATGTCAATCTCTACAAAAGTGAGGTTAAAATTCGCACAATTTCACGTACATATTTGTAATTATTTTAAATTCAACTACTTTGCTCTCAGTTGATTATTATTATAAAATGTGATAATTTTTCCCAACCATTTAAGTAAAAATTCTTTGTACCTGCTCTAAAACACAGCATTTAGATAATTATAATTTATGATAAGTTATGGGTAAAATGTAAAATAATGTAGGATTGTATAATTCTGAAGTGAGTCATATTTAGGTACTACGCACCTAGTCATAATAAATTACGTCTATTAAACACTATTTTTTTTTTCTTTAAAACTTTAGATTTTCAAATACAAGCGGGATTTGTTTTATTTACGAATGATGCCAGGACGAAACGGGTCGATACGTGAATGGTTTAGCCTATATTTCTCGCTCTAATATATGCGTACACTATGCTCTTTCTCTTTTGTCTTGCCAATCTATGCTAACGTCAGTTTATACTAAATCTCTGCTTTTGATTCCGTTGCCAAATCACCGCCAGGTTTTTTTTTTAAATTAAATTGGAGGGAAAAACGTACTTATAGTCCACCTGATGGTGAGTGGCTCCTGCAGCCCAAGAACAACTGCAGCCAGCTTAAAACAAAGAAATCTGGATGGAAAATGGATGCATTGTTATTTCTGAGGACTAAGATGAAATTCCTCACAACTTGTAAAATAGCGGGCTCACTATACCCTTCATACCGTAACGTAGCAGTGTCTACTACTACCACTACCTACCTAGACGGACTCCCAAGCCGTAAAGGAATCCTACCTCATCAAATATTTATCTGTATATAATTGCATGGGATCTGTCTGACATTTTTTATGGTTGATTCTTACGACAGCCTGCTACCGTGTGGTGATGACTTATGAGCATCCATCACCCTACTTTGTCTTGTCAGATAGTTAAAGTTTTTTGGTGAAAGTTATCATTGCATGCATTTTCAGATCTGAAGAGTATCCAGACAAACGAGTTGTTCAGCTCGTTGCACACACTCCTGCTGGTGCTGTACAGGCGCGACTGCCGCCGTAGTTACACGCCGCCCAACCACTGGCTCGTGAAGGAGATACGAGAGGGACAGTTCATGGCTGATCTTGAGAAAGGAAAGAAGCCGCAACAGGTATACTTTTAGGACCTCCATTTTTGACTTTTCATTTCTGAGGGTTGTGGAACTTTAGATTTCGAAGATATTTTTACCGTATCTTTTAAGCTAATCGAGAGCTTGCCGTCTAACTTCGGTATATATCATCATCATTACGACCCATCAGAAACCCTTGATGAAGTTAGGCCTCCTAAAGAATGTCACAAAGCACGGTCCTGGGTCGCTTGCATTCATCAACTATGTGCATCTCTTCTATGCTTTGCTTACCAGTACATGGATGCAACTCGTCTTTCTTTCTCGTCACTTGTTGGTGCTTCGTACTACATAGCTTGCTCATTGCCACTTTAACTTACTGATCCATTGGGCTTAGTCATTTAATTGAGTTCTACTGCGGATATCATCGTTAGGTTATCTATCATGCAGAGAAACTACAAGCATTCCTCCCCATATCCTTTGTAAGTTTCATACAGTCAGCTATGAAGGAACAAACCTCAGATCCGGATATGTTATCACTGGCAACACGCTAGTTGTGGGCTCAAAACTAGAAAATGAGAGTTACACTCTAGTTTTGAGGTATACCTGAAGAAAAGATGAGTTACAATCTCCCGCGAACGCTACCCACCGAGTTGGATGAGTCTATTGACGTTTCGATCGAAGTTGTACTTACCTAGTCGGTCGCAATTACTGCTCCTAATAGTTTTTTTAAAGAATTGAGCTTATTCGGCGGTGGGGACAGAAGTCGAGTTATTCTGTATATTATTGTACTACAATATTTTACTTAAAGGTTAAGGTTACATTTAAATGAAGTTTTTGTTACAAAACGCTAAACAACTATCATTTGTGTGTTTCTGTAAGCATGCATGTCTGTGTATCTTTGCTTCGAAACCAGCACTTGTATTGCACCTTTGGGAAATTAAAGAATTATTTGGAATTTGATAAATATTCCAACAGTACGTTTTGTCTACTTTTATATAAAATCAAATCTAAAAATGTTTTTCCTTCTTGCAGGTGCTAGTACAGAAGACCCCACACATGATAGCGCATGGCGAACGAGTCAGACTGTTCAGACGAGCGGTTGCTGACGAGAAGGTAAATTTTAACTTTAATTACATGTTTATTTATTTATTTATTTATTAAAAAAACTGCAGCATGCAACATAAATTCGTTTTTAATAGTCTTATTTGTAAAATGATTATTGAAGTGTCACCCCCTTTGCGGGAATTCGACAGCCTGGGTCTCCGGTGGTGCGAGTTAATGACTATATTCGACTAACAATATCTTGAAATTTTCATTTCCTCATTATCAGCTCATAAATGGTCAACTGTTAGACATGATCCTTTATCAGTATTCCTAATCGTTACGCTTGGTCGAATTGCCAATTGCACTACAAGACTCAGACTGCTCCTATTTATAGCTGGGATATGTTATTTTATAAATCTTAATGGTATTAATCATAGTGACACTAACGACGCTCATAGGTAGATTGGGTGAATATAAAGTAAAAGTATAGGAATTTAAATAAAAGCTTTATACCTTCTACTGCTGGGCTCAGGTCTCCTCTTATTGCTGAAAGCTTATTGATCATAGAATGTCAACTGTCAACCTCCTTGCTCTAAATTACGCAAAAGTAATTTGATTGTTATGGGAATATGTCTTACAATGAAGTAAAGGTGATGCTATTGTAAATCTATTGCGCGATGCGCTCCCAGAACCATTTGAGACGTAGTGTGCGAGTCAGCTGGTTCCGGAGTTAATAAAGGCTGGCTGAAATGCGCCTTCCGTTTTCCGCAATACCTTTGCCACACGCTCCACGTTCTGTCTATCATCAAAGGATGATTTACTAGAAGTCCTATTTGGCCAAGTTTAAAGCATAAATGGCGCAGCGCGCCCTTAGAACGACGCGACTAATGAGAGCTCATCGCGAAGTGGTGTGATGATGTAACGTTACGTCCGTATGGCATCACTCACTAGACTAAAAGGATATTAATGCATATCTTAAAGATGTTAATAAAAATACTGTTACCAATAATTATAGAATAACCCAAAAATTTCAAACCAATTGATCGCATTTGCTTAGCCGCTTTAAGCAACTGCAACTGTTTCGTTTTCGTACAGTGCCGCGCCACCTCGCGATAAGCTTTATGAGCTCGCTCTCATTCTGTTTATTTTGTTTTTTAAAACGTTACCACGTCACAACAAGATTTTCTCTTGTATCCAACATTGAAGTAATATGTACTTACGTACTAGAACAGCTATCTCAAACAAAAAATGTGCGCTACTCTGTGTTCGCGCGGTTGTTTTTTTTTATCATAGAATGAACATAGGTAGAATGACCCGTAGGTAATAGTAGTTAAATTTAGTCTTATTTTGTATATTATATTTGCTGATTTAATATAATATTACATAATATTATATCACAATTACATTTTAATGAAATTTTAATCTCAATATTTTAAAAGGTATCCAAGTCAAATATAAAAAACATACCAAATGTATGTTTAACAAAACTTATTAATACAACATTTAAATTACAAATATATTTATTTAAATTAGAATAAAAGTCGTTTATAAATGCTGGGCACGCGAGAGTTAAAAATGGACGAATTTATAACACGTTGACTTTGATGTGGAAACCTCAAAATAAAATAAAATAATAGTAAGCAGATTTAAACATGAAAAATATCGCCAAATTATTATAACTTATATATGTTTCTACAAAAAAAAATGTGTATAATAATATATTCGTCCTATACTTAAGTACCCACAGAAATGTCGCATCTGAACATATTAATTTCGTAATTTATATTCCCTGACACGAGATGGCGTCTTAGGAATAATTTGTTTTATTATTAATACATAATATTTTTTATTGATTAAGTATCTTATTAACCGATGGAAAGTAATTCCTTGGTTTTTACTGACATTTCTTGAATTATTTGTGCAATTTCTAAGTACACACGACGACATATTTTTATCAAGAGATTTTTTTTAAATCAACACAACACGTGACAACTCTATAAGCGCCTAGAGAGTGACTGATTAAAGTGCGGTGCATGCACCGCAGTTGAGTGGAACATAGTAGCTGAATGCAGTGTCGCCTCTAGTACGTAGTACATAATAGCTCAGTGTGTATCCAAGCAGTTTACATCAGTAAAGGACAATATACAAATATCAATAAAATAATTTACTATGTTTAATCTCATCAAGCTTATGGCCTAAGTTTGGAAAAAAAATTCACACGTAATTTAAAACTAAATTGACTAGTTGCTGTAGTTGTTACGATTCACCAATTAAGGCAGGCAAAGGTTTTATACCATACAGCCTCGTCTGATGTGTATTTTGTTCATAAAACTTCACAAATTTGCTAATGCGTTATTTCAGAATTCACTCTATGCTAGTAATTACTCTATATAAGCATAATTAAATATTGTATCGGCTAGTAGTTGCTATTGTAACGATTTATCAATTATGACAGACAAAGGTCTTATAGCATACAACCTAGTCTGATGTTAATTTTATTCAAATTGGAATATCTTTAATTCCTGACTTCTTGCAGAGTAGTACGACTGAAGAAAAATCGTTCAAGATTTCAAACTCTATATTTTTACATAGTTTTCATTTGTATTCGCAAGAAAAAAATCCTTTGTAAGTTCGCCACTGGCCTTTCACAAGGGCAAACATCCAGACTCGAAACAATTATTTGTAGGTCATACAAATATTTGTTCAGTTGAAGTCATTTAAAGCGCCGTAGCTAAATGCTAACCTACTGTGCCACGGAGCCGTTAAACGCGTTATGTAAGAAAACTAGTCAGATCAGTGGCGTAGCGTGGGGGGTGCCGGGGGAGTCCATGGCACCGGGCGGCATATGAAAGGGGGCGGCGGCAAATTCCAAGATTTTTTCAATGAAATAACTCCAAACTGCGCCCGCAATGTTACGTGCCAAGCGAAACCGCAAGGGTGCGTAAGAGAGGAGGCGAGATGAAGTCGAATACTGCCGAAGTGCTGGCGACAACCTCCCGGCGCCCGGCTGGCCGGCTCTGCAGGGGCGAACTGACGTGAACGAACCAACAAGCAACAGCGAGTACTCAGTTATTCAATTAAACAAAACAATCCCTACTGAACATAGACCGAAGGAATGCCATAAAGCACCGTCCCGAGCCACCTGCATCCATCGACTTCCTACATATCTTATCAGGTCGTCACTCCAACTAGTGCGGGGACGCCCTACGCTTCGTCTGCCGGTCCGAAGCTGCCACTCGAAACCTTTCTTCCCCGTCGGTTGTTGGTTCTTAGAGCTGTATGGCCGGCCCATTGCCACTTCAGTTTACTAATCCGTTGAACTTTGTCGCTTCCAGAGCAACGGACTAAGTTCAAAGTTCTACTGAGGTTATCCTTGTTTTTAATGCTATCATGCAAAGACACTCCGAGCATAGCCCTCTTCATAGCTCGTTGAGCGACCTTGAGCTTCATACAACCAGCAGTGAACGACCTCGTCTCAGATCCATAGGTCATCACTAGCAACATACACTAATTGTACAATCTCGTTTTGAGTTTTTAATGTATGCCTAACGAGAAGATGTGTCGTAATCTCCCTAATGCTGCCCAGACGAGTTGAATCCGTCGGTTGACCTCTCGTTTAAAGTTGGACTTACCTAGTCGGATTATATTACCAGGTGAACATACTCGTTAACAATTTCGAGCGTAGTAATACCAACAATAATTGGCATAGGTGTGACGTAGACATTACACTTAACCTTTATTTTGTCCGTGTTCATCTTAAGACCAATCCGTTGGGAGACACTATTAAGGTCATTGAGCATAGTGTTTAGGTCCTCCAGCAATGCTGCCGTAAGGATTATATCGTCAGCAAATCGAATATGAGTGATGTGCTCGCTATTGACGTAAACACCGTATTCTTTTCGGTCTAGTTGCTTGAAAACGTCTTTCAATTCAGCAGTGAAGTGTTTCGGGAATATTATGTCACCCTGTCTTACACCTCTCTGCAGTTGCATAGGTTTTGTACTCGGATAGCCATCGTTGTCCTACTGTACAAACACTTCAGCACTTCGATATACCGACAGTCAACTTGGCACCGCTAAGGGATTGCAGCACTCCCAAATTTCGACGGAAGCAAAGGCTCTCATAATCCACATACTCAAGACAAAGAGGCAGATTGTACTCTTCGATTTTCTGTACATATTTCCGCAGGGTGTGTACGTGGTCTATGGTGCTAAAGCTTTTTCGGAAACCGGCTTGTTTGGGAGGTTGAAAATTGTTGTGTCTGCACGCGAGACGATTCGTAATGTAATAACTCTCTAAAACAGTACGTAGACGCGGATCTGAATAGGAATCTGTCTGCAGTTCTTCAAGAGAGTACTTTTCGCCTTTCTTGAAGAACAAGACCAACGCACCTGCTCTACGCCTCTGAAGTAGTACCACCATGGAGAACGGAATTAAAGAGCTTCTTAAGGACTTAATTTACCGGTTTTTCATCCGGTTTTAGAAGCTCCGCTGTGATTCTATCTTCTTACAATAGTGTTAGGAGAAAAACGAGAGGAATTTGTAAACGACTCTCTACAATATTCTAAAAATTTATGTGGAAGAGCTTGGAATTTCTTTTGAACCCCCAGACGAATCTGGAGGAGGCATATTTTTGGCGACGAAAATGTAAATGTCGGGCTACCGTACGAGAACGAATTGAGGCGAACAATGTTTACTTCAGAAGACAGAGTAACTGCTGAAATTAATAATCTATTCCAACAGCTGCAAAATCTAGCGCAAAAATATGACTTTTATGACTGCAGTAATATTGGGCCTGAAGAATTTAACTCACACCAAGCTCGTTGCGACATAAATATAGAAGAGTTCCAACTGGAGCGCGCACGTCTACTTGTGTTGCAACTGCAACAGACTCAGACTGTAAAAAGGGCTTATTAAGTCCGGCTTTCAGGGTTTATTAAAATACATAATTGAGTCCGAACTTAAAGATGGCTAACCAAACATTGTCATAATAAAAATAAAAATGAATACTGAGGATTTTTTTAACATCTGCTGTTAGTAATGCAAGTTGCCAGAGATACTTTTTTAAA